CTATGAGTCGGGGCCGACTCGAAGGCAAACAACAACAACAAAGCATGATCTTCAGTAATATGAAAAACTCTAAACAACTCCACGTTAGTCCTCAGGGAAATTGCCAATTTAATACAGGAAGAACAATATAGACCCTTTATTTTCTATTTAAGTACACCAGTGATGCCTGGGGCCTTGAATCAGCTCTCCTCTGAATCTGGAGGGCCTTAAACAAAAATGAACTCCCTGCCCAAACAGAGTAATAGCGTTTACATCTGAAAAGCTTCACAGAAAGATTAGTTTCCCCTTTTGATTCTAATGCATTACCCTTTTCCAAATGATTTTGTGTAAAAACTTTAAACTATAAATTTCCCTAGCCCATAATTATTATATTTTATTTCTCTTCCTTCTTTCTCTTTCTGTTTTCTTCCTATGATAGGAGGTGGAGGAGAGAATAAAATGCCCAGGCTCTTAAATTCTAGGCTTAGGCAGGAAAGAAAAGTAATTTGAAATTAAAAATACATAAAATTAACCTGAGTCCTTAAACTCTGTATATGTCACCATGGAGACGAGAGCATAAATTTTCTCCATGGAGGTTGGAATCAATTTCTTTTGCTTTAAATTATCATCATTCATTACCAGATTTGTATTTGGCCAAGGAAGAGATAAGTGAAACTAAATAAATATAAGAACTAGACTCAAAAGAGATAATTTATTAAGTGCAAGTCTAAATTCCATGTCGCATCTGTCAGTTTATTGCACTATGGTGGCTTGCATGTTTGCTGTAATGCTAGAAGCCATAGCATTGGTATTTCAAATACCAGCAAGATCAACCATGGTGGACAGGTTTCAGTGGCGATTCCAGAGTAACACAGACTAGGAAGAAGCATCTGGTAATCTACTTCTGAAAAAACTTGTCAGTGAAAATGTTATGAATAGAAGAAGACTGATGTAGGGCACTAAAAGATGAGCCCCTCAGGTTGGAAAACACTAAAAATATGACTGGAGAAGAGCTGCCTTCTCAATGTAGATTCAACCCTAATGGCATAGGGAATAAAGCTTTCAGGACTTTTATTTGCCAATGTGGCATGACTCAAAATGAGAAGAAACCATTGCAAATATCCATTAATAATCAGAACGTGGAATGTACAATGTATGAATCTAGGAAAACTGGAAGTAGTCAAAAATGAAATGGAATGATTTGAAGGCCCCTTTCACATTCCAATCACTAGTAATTATCAATGCATCCTGACTGCATGTTTGATCAATTTCAGACTGCAGAAGTTGGTAAAAAAAAAAAATCTTCATTTTCTTCATCTTTGGGGTTAGTGGTTGTTGCATGAATTTGAATATTAGCCATATTAACTGGTCTTCCTTGTACATGTATGGATATTATTCTAACACTGACAACACCATACTTCAGGATACATCTTGAAATGTCCTTTCGGATGATGAATGTGAAGGATTTTTTGTCACTCTTGGCATGTTGTTGTTGTTGTCATTTGCCGTCGAGTCACCCCCGACTCATAGC